TGGAACAAATGTGGATGTTTGCACTTCAAATATTTAGATGTGAGTGTGAGCACGTTAACCTTCTACAGCACAGATCATCATTGTTCATGTTAGTATTATGTGTGTGTAAATACACTCCCTCCTCAGGCCTGGGCCCGGTGTTATGGAGATCACCATGAATCAGTCACGGGCCGGTGCCTGAGTCGTTTCAGGCTCCGCTGTGGTTTTTATTGTTACTCTGTTTTCTTCCTGTGTTGTGAATAAACCTTCAGTACTGGTTTCATTTTGTTGTGTTTATCTGCAACACCTTAAAGGCCGGTCTGTGGTGCAAAAAGGTTGGGGACCGCTGGTGTAAATAATAAGCTGCTCCACCAACACTCATTAAAGCTCCAGTCAGACATGCTTGGTTTTGTATCAACATGTCACAAAGTGGTTTCTTTTTCACAGAAATAACCAAAGATATTTCCACTGCGACCTGATATCAGTGGATCTCACACTGGAATGTAAACTGGCTGTTTAGGGGGGGTCCCTGCCCTGGGTATCTGCTTAGAGGGAAAGTGAGACCGCCGTGGTTTAAAATATGCGCATAGTTTGACACATCAGTAAAATAATTGCATCAGTGCTGAGAGGTCAGGTCCAGGCAGTGCTGTTCAACTGTAAGGAGCTAAAAGCTTCTTAAAGCTCTGCATCCTGTGCTTTTAAAACGATTTATCAAAGTAAAGTTGAAGTTTGAATGCCGATGTGTTTGTGCATCACTGTAAAACCTGCGGTGCTTACCGGAGGAGGTCCAGCACGTTCCAGAAGAAGAGCTGCACGCACACCACCGGTTTACTCTGCAGCTCCTCCAGCATGATGATCATAATCAACAGAAGGTTCTTCTCCATCACCTGAGGAGCAGGAAGACAGCGCGTCCGTGCATCAATCAAAGATAACAACAATGATAAAAATGTCATTAAACTTTGAGCTGCGTACGCACTTGGATGAAGCGAGGAAGGAGCCGGGCTTTCTCGATGCCGTCCGCAATGTGGAAAAGCTCCAGAATGGAGAGCAGCTGGCAGAGACTCATCACAAAGCCCACAGAGTAAAAGGTGTCGGCCAAAGCATCTGCAGTCACAAACAACATGTGCGGCATGCTCATCAGTCCTAACTTGGAAATATACTTCTTAGTCAACTTATGAAGCATTTGGAGCGATGTCTGTGTTTACTGGAAACTTCACTCAGCAGCAGCAAATGAGCCTTTACAGAGAAACGAGCAGCGCGGTCCCTGTTTGTGTCCCACAGCAACCTCACGCAACAAACGAACGAAGGCAAAGAAAGGATACCACGTCAAAGAGCTCTGAGAGAAAGCGTTTAACCTCAGGAGAAAACACAGTCTAACATGATGTGAGAGCGCTAACAGCCAGACTAGCAGGAGGCTGCTGCTCCATGAACTCCTCTGATGCAGGTCTGCAACTCAAGTTTTCACAGGAGGATTTGGGGGAAGCAGATCATGTCTGAATACCTTTTCTTAAATACATAAATTAGCTCGATGAGGCTTAATGAGATTTAAACGACGGCCTGATCAAACGGAGCCTGGAGTCTAAGCTGGGTGTTTTTCTATATCGGTCCAAGCGTCCGTACAGCATCGGTCCATCGCTCAGGGTAGCACTGCCATCTTAGTGCCTTTATTATTTACTTTGACCTGCACAGCTGCTCCACAGACCGTTCACTTCCTGGAAAAGTCAGACTAATTCAGATTAACTGAGACTGGTAAGTTTTCCTAACCTTACCTTGGCCGAACATAAGAAACCTGGCGACAGTATTAGCCAGTATCCACGTGTGGCCACAGAACTGGAACAGGTTGTATGAGAAACTGTAGGCGAGTCTGAAGCTGAACCTGCAGAACAGGAATAAGCACACAGATTCGTTACTGTGGTTTACACAACGATGATGATGATAGAGGTGACAGCAGCTCACTTGCTAAACGTTGTGCTGAGGCACAGTGGCATGAATCCAGCCATCAGTGCTTGTTATCTGTGTGAGCTGCTGCAC